ATGCTCATAAGAATTAGGCTGGCTGTTGGGGCCAGCTTTAGTTTGATCAGAAATGGGTATGAGAGAAACAGAACCGTTAGTCCATGGGGCTCAAATAGCCTTGAAAGAGAGGAAGCCGTGTTGGCAGTCTCATTGTCTTCACAGCTAAAGTTTCACTACAAACAAGCAAACACATACTGCATTACGCTAGGAGAACAAATACATGTAATAATAATCAATACTTTGAATCCTGGGATCATGGAATTTTCAAGTTTGGGTGTTTTACTCCAGTGAGACTAGATAGCTGTTGGCTTCTGAAGAAGCCCAGGGTGCTTATGAAGTCCCATCGCCAGAGGACCAACTTGCCAGCTGTAAGTTGACATCCTATCCCCTTTGTTCTTCCCTGCCTGAGAACCGCCACCCAGAGAAAGCCTGCATCACTAAGTCTTTTTGCCCTTTCTCTTGTGTCCTCCTGTCATTTCATTCCCTTCCGCTGTCTCTGCTTTCCTCTTTCTTCCACGCTGCGCTCACTCCTGCATGTGCAATGGTGGACAATCTGGGTTGAATGGGATTGGTGACTTGCTTGGAGTTGCAGATCTAGGAATAGGTAACCATGAGACGTGGGACTGATTGCAGAGCAGACTGAGGGTACTATAATTGATGGAGGAGATGATACCTGCTATACCCACTGTAGCCACACTATATAATTGGAGATGACTGTCTGCTGTACAGTGGAGCTCTGTACATTAATTGCTGGATGTGATTATGTCTGTGTACATATGTGCAATTTCAAGACATGCTTCTCAGAGGATCTGGTTCACAGAATACGTACATTAAACTGATATGGTTATTCACATATGTACAGTTTTCTTATGCTTTTTTTCCTGGAAAACATACTTCATTCAGGAGGGGGTGCAATATGGCCACATATATATTGTTCATTAAAATATAAAACAAGCCCTTTTTCTCTCAAGCTGTTAATTCCACAGAGTATATACAATTCTATCACTGAATGATGAGATAGGAGGAAATGTGGGTAATAATTATTGTTTCCAGATTATTACAGAATCTCTTGCTTTCATAAAGCTCAAAAGACATAGGAGAAAATTAAAAAGTAATGAAAAAACCACATGGAAACAGTTGGGTTGCTTAGTATTTTTCTTGGCCTAAATTACATGGGTTGGCAGTCATTTGCATTGTTGTGTCTGACAACAAGGGTTTTTGTGTGGGGGTCAAGGTAAAGCAGTCCTAAGTAGTCCTAACAGTGAAGAATGCATGGTGCCTGTTGCAAATTTTTAATCTCTACATAACAATTTAATCCTAAATTGTTGGTGTACCGAATGATTTATAAGAGAGAAACTTTTTTTTTTTTTTGGCCACTGCTTGGCCTGGAAAAGTTTACTATTTCTCTTTACATTATGGAGACTTCTCATAAAAGAACTTTCTGTGTTAGACACAAGAATGTAAACTTTGAAGCCAGTGGATAGTAAGCAAGCTAGCAGTTTAGTATGGATTCTAGCAGTCCATGAGCACTCCGCCTTTAGAGAGTGAGGAACTGCTCATAGGTTGCTGTTTCATAAACAAGATTGACAACCTCCAGGTGGGGCCAAAGATCAGTTCCTCTCAAGGAAATGGCTGCTTTGGAGGACAGTGGCATTATACCCTACTGAGATCCCTCCCCTCCCTAAACCCCACCCTCCCCTAGCTCCACTCCAAAATCTCTAAGAATTTCCCAACCTGGAATTGGCAACCCTACTCATAAAATAGCTCCATATTGGCTCTTTAGATCACATGATCCCCACTGGCTAAAATTTCAGTATGCCATTGGACCATTGTGCTGAGTAGAATTGTAGTTTCTTCTACTTCCATGATATCCTGGTAAGCTATCTTGGAAGCCCTGTCAGAGCCCCTGGTTTAAGATCCCCAGAACTTTATGTAGCTTATGTTGAATTTCCACTCACACATTATCTTAATGCTTAACTTATTCATTTACTCACGTTATTCCTTAAGTTCAAGTGAATTTCATAAAATTCATGGCATGATACAGCACATATTGTGATTCAGTTACAACTTTTGACCCACTAATACCACTCCACATTTACTGCCTGGTCTATACTGTCATTCTCTGAATATTCATTCTGTAACTTCTAGTTTCATCAGCCTTATCTTTTTAAAATGTCTTGTTGTTTATAAACTATGGTTCTAGTTAAGGTTTTCCTTTAGAATGTTTTTTTCATATTTTAAATACTGTTTTGGATATTGTTTCAAAGCATATATTCATATTAAGAGTGAAATATTGAAAGATAAGGAGAAATTATGTTTTATAAATATTTTCAGTATATATTGTGAAGTGCATTGTGCTTTATATTTTCAATATATATTGTGAAGTGCATTGTGCTTTAAATTTTGGTTTTATTTTATTGATGTAACACTTTTGAAGGAATCATGTACAATTTATGGCATAAATAAAATTGTCTGAGTAAAGGAATAATTTGCCCAGGGGTCTTATATCAAATAAATCACTTCTTTTAAAAGAATCCCCCCAACACATCTTTACAGTTCAGACTATCATTGATGCTGCAGCCCATCTAGGTTAAGTGTAATAATTCTGTCATTTGCCACATAGATATGAAGTTGAAATGTTGAGGAAACAATCTAGTGCATAGAAGACACATGGGGTGTGTTTAGTTAGAAGATTTTTACCCCACCTCACCACAGCAACATCCATTAAAAATAATACAAGGTTTACAGTATCTTCCCCCACATACACCAAGAGATGGTAAACTGATAATTCAGTGTGCTCTTTCCATTCCCCAAGCTATTCCTGCCACTGCTGCATTTACATCATAGAAAGCTATATAATCCTAATAGCTATATAAGAAAACACTTATTCTTGTGTGTGTGTTTTTCAGATTTTTTAAAAATACATGTTTAGGTTCAATCTAATAGCATCAAGAGTATTTTTTCTTTACAAGGCTAGATAGTAATCCAGTTTCCATTCTGGCAGTTAGATGTTATTCTACACTAGTTTCTTGTGAGGTCTGGAGTGGGCCTGAGAAATGAAGCAGGCCTGACCCCCACCCAAACAACTGAAGTCTTTTCCTGTAACACTCTATTGACTAGCTGCCAATCATTAAGTTTCATACTTTTTTGTGCAACTCTCCAAGGAAACCTGATTTCTCATCTCCTTACTTGGGATTTTGCCGTTGTTTTCTTGAAAGAAAGAAAAAAAGGATAGGTCTTGAGGAAAAGAAAAATGTGAGCAACATAAATGATTTTTAACCAGAATGACAAGTACGATAATTGGGGGTGGGGGAGAGGGGGAGTACTAACAAATTTGTAAACGGAGCTGTCCTTTGCAAGTGTTTTGTTTACTGCATTTATTTAGGCAAGAAGTTTCTCTTTAAAATGACCCAATTTATCTTCCCTCTTCAGCACAATTTAAAATAAAGCATGTATTTTTTGTAACACAGGATCATATTTCTTGGTTTGAAGTAAGCCAGTAAAACCTAATTTGGTGTTTTATGATATCCGGTGTAAATATACCAATAATTAAAATGTGCTCTATGTCATATAAAAGATGTGCAAAAACCTGAAAAGAACATTGTTATTAATGAATATAGTGAAGTTTTATTATTACACTGGCCAGTAATACATTGAATACAGTGCGGCAAAAAATCTAGTTGTACTTGAAGATACGTGTTCTGTTGTCTAACTTCTCTTCATAATCCAAACTCTTTGTAAAGCTGAGTGTACTACTGCTTTTTAAATATCTCTTTGGGGTAACCATTTGAACTTGCTACCATATTGGTGGGTCTTAAAGGTCTATCAGAAGCCTTGATGATTGCAGCCGGCTACAAGATAGCTTGTGGTGTATCAGGAAATCAAAGAGCCAACATCAAAGAAAATTGCTGAACTAGGTGTTAGATGCAGTCATTGATTTTTTTTCTCTCCCAGTAGCAGTAATGGGAATGGGGAGGGGGGAAACTCTCAAAAAAACCTGAAGCACACAGTAGCAGAATTCCAAATATTCCCCTATAGCAACTTTTTCTCCCCCCCCCCATGTAATCCCATATTTGGTGTACTTAAAATCCACCAAATGCAAGGCATGAACTCTTCTGTAGCATGTGGACCTCAGTGGGTACAGTAGCATGTGTTTCTGTAGCAAGTAGCATTTTAGATAACATTTCCTTTGATAGCTGTGGCTGCTGCTGTTGTATATTTGTTAAGTAGCTCTCTGTTGTTTGTTTGTTTAACTGCCCTTTCTGATTTCTTCACTAGTTTTATCAATAGAACACATCATTCCTATACATCACTGTAACCCAAATGCTGGATTTACGGATATTGCTAAACAAAAAATTAGACTTCCATAAAATCTTTTAGGTAGTGTGCTCAGTTATCTTATGATCCAAAACTATGACATGGGCTCAGTTTTATTTGGCTCCATAAATAATTGGGAAAGTGGATGCATCAAATAATAGCAAATTCTGCATTATCACATTCAATTCTGGGAAAGGACAGTTACCAGCTACACTTAACATCTTGCAGACTAAGAATGGGGACAAACTACTAAAAACTGGAGGTCAGAGATAAGCATATTTTTTCTAATAATAATAAAGCTTTTAATGAGAACTTACGCTTTTCAATATGATTTCTAGTTTTTACTCTATAGTGTACTTCTTACTCTAAACCATGCAATCAGACTTGTTGGGTTGAGTGTAAAATTGGTGTATTTAGTTCTTACTTTCAGTTTTGAAGGATAGTCAAAGCTATATCCTTAGAAGTATCCAATGGGGAAAAATATTTATAGAAATTGCTAATATCTCAAATCCAGCAGACAGGTAAGCATGCCTTGCTTAAGTTCTATTGAAACTAATGAGGGTTTAAGCCTGTTTAATTGGTTAATATCCCTTACAGCATGCTAGTGTGTCTGAAACTATAGTTATAGTTGTTTCTTAATTGATCCTTGGTGTATTTAATTGATCCTTACCATATTTAGAGAGTGTTCTTTTCCCCCCTAGGAATCACGGAACAGTGCAAACATTCCTTCAGCTTCGAGACCAGCATCCCAGTTTGACCAGGGTAGCATCTTGGATTTTTTGCCACTGAAGGCTGAGTCAGATTATGATGCATCTTTCCCCATGATACACAATAGATCCAGTTCTCAGGCTTCTTCATCTTACTCCTCTACCCGAAATGTCACAGCCAGCGCCAAACGAACAATGCAAAATGGACGTTAAGTTTTGTTGTGTGTGTGTGTGTTTTTAAGTGTTAGAAAAACCTAATTAAATCCTATTTGATTAGGATGCCTTTCGACTTTGAATTGTGACTCAGTCTCTCTGCATTTTTGTGACATTAATTTTGCATATATTCAGTGTGGTGGGTGTAGGGGGTGGGTCTGTACATATGTTCCTTTGCTTCATACTTTCAGCATAGTGAAACAGTCCATTTTTTAAAACAATAAGTTTTATTTATCATGGAAACTCATTTTTATGTAATATATTTTTAAATGTTAAAGAATGACACATTTTGGGTAATTTTCCCTCAGACTTAAAAAAAATCAATAAGCCATTTTGGTCTCTATCTATCAAAGTTGTTTCATACTTGTCTATTTTAAAGCAGGGCTGCAATACTTTAATAGGATTGAGAGAGCTATTTGAAATGTATGCCAATGATTCCTGTCATTTCATGGCAGCCCTGCCATGGTTCACTGAGCCCCCTCTTCTCTCTTGTCAGCTCAACTGAAGACAAGCATTTAGTTGCAAACTTTAAGCAGGTTGTGCAAAACAGAAATGATGTGACTGCTTCTCCTCCTGCACAATAATGTCACTCCTGGTCAATGTGAGAAGGTCAGGTTGCTCCTTGTAAAGCTACATGATACCACTTGCCCATTTGAACAAGTTAAGTGCCGAATCTGGTCCCTGCAGGCGCTGCACACTCATCCTTTTAGCAAAAGGCAGTGTTTGATAAGAAATGTAGAAACAATTGTGCAGGGAGGATTTTTAGATGATATGTTTATGTACTTTTATAAGGGCAGTTCCCAAACCAGCATTGCAGGTAATATATTTAGCTTGAGCCGCAAGACTTTAAAGTAATGGCTGTTTTGACCTTCAAAATAGGCTCCTTTTTGTGTGTATGTGTGCTGGTAGGACCCAAGAGTGACGCCCATCTTTGATGCTGACAGAATTTAAAGCAAGGCCATTGCCCTGCATTTTCTGCCTTGTAGCACACAAAAGTAAAATTGTATGTCAGGCCGAGATGTCGGGGAGCTGACAAGATGCCCCAGTGACATTTCAGCTGGAAAGAGCAAGTGTCTTGCAACCAAGTGGTCAAATATCAAATAATAGGTCAAGCAGGAAGGAGCTGAGTTCTAACCACAAAGAGGTTTCTGGTAACTTACTTGACAAGCTTTTGGGCGCTTTGTGGCTTGACAAAGTGATGTTATGTTGGGTATCGCTAGACAGACTGTTCTTTATCGCCTTCAGAAGATCAGACATTGACATTGATTAAACTCTTTAACCCTTAAAGGTTAAATCTTAGCCGGTATGCGTCATTGTGAGTAAAGAACAAAAGAAAATTTGTAATATATACCATTTGTTATGGTATTAATCACCCCAACTCCCCAGTGCCATTAACATTTGATGTGTGATGTAGTTTTTGACAGGGATATTGAATGCAAAATCTATATGTTAGATTGCTTCTCATTATGGATCAGGGATACATTAGAAAAATAACATTGTGCTTTGTAGAATTTGTAATTTCTTGTGCTTTGATAAAAGCAGTGTTTGATTCCAAGGGTCCTTTCCTGACTACTAACATTTATCTTTGTTCTCCTTGTCCTAGAAGGTGAAATTTGCATATGTAATACACGTGTCATTGTAAGTAAAATCATGCAAATGTCCAAGAAATGTACTTGAAAACCACTCCATAGAACTTTGAAAATTTTCAAGTATTTTTTATATTTCGTTTCTAAAAGTGCTTTCACATGTGCAATGGCAACTGTATATTACTTTCAAATGAACAGAGTAAAAGAAATTTGTCTGTTTTAATAGTATGGTTTCTCTGGATTATTTAAGTCAAAGTTTTGGGATAAAAAGTTTTTGTTTCTCTCATATTAATGGCTGCTAAGAAAAAGACTGAAAATATCACTTAATTCTAAACATGAAGCAGTTCTCTTATCCACTTGCATGAATGATTTTGTTTTTATTGTCCTAAAGAAACTGAACTAAAACTGTAAATGTCCCTAATAAGGTTTTCATACTCTCTAGTCAGAATTTAATCTATTATTGGACCACGCGTTGGCAATATCATTCCTTATGACTGTATCAATAAGTCACATTTTATCATTTAAAAGATCGGGGATGTACTACAGTGACTGCCACATTGTTACCTTTGGGGAATGAGAATAATTTTGATTTGTTTGTCCTACTCAGCAAAAAACAAGAAGTAGAAAATTGTAAATGATGTATACCTTTTTTAATAGGTAGATCAGCTGTAATACTTTTAGAACTGTGGAATATGGTTTTTACAATACAATGTAGTCAAAACTTCTATCCTAAAAAAAAGGCGAGAAAGAAAACCAGGAATCTTGAAAAATGTCTGAGCTGCAAACCTTTATACAGCTCCACTGCTGAAGAGGTGCTAGGGCAGCAATTCTAGATTATTATCACTGTTTTTTTTCAAAGGGAACAAAAGGTTCCCCAGGTTAGAGCTCATTCAGGAGAATACTTGGAGATGAGAACCTCCCTACTATTCATAGAGATTAAAGCCTCTGTGTTCATCATTTTTAAAATCCCAAATGATGATTGAGGGCATATAGTTTGGGAATCTGGTAATCCATCTAACAAATACAAATTAATGTACAAATCCTTATGTATTATGTGACCTAATCTCAGTCATGCACTTTTTTTTTGTATTTAGCATTCAGTCAGCTAACTACAGAATAATTATAGATATAAAGTTTGTTGTATTGTTTCCTGCTATAATGAAATCATAAATTTATATATACCATATTTAGCACACTAATTGATGAAGGCTTTAGAAATATGAAATAGAATTATTGATATAAAATTATTCCCAGTAGAACTGCAAAGCTTTCCTACCATGTGTTTAGAAACCTCTATGGAAAGGAATGTGTAAACTCAACATTGATGTACGTCAAAATGTGAATTTGAGGATCTGGCTGCGCTGGCATGAGATTATGGTAAGATTTCAGATTGACACATAAGCAAGGTGGTTAGGTTTAGAGAGCATCATTTTATTTGTGAAAAATTCTTTACTTTTTATTTAAGTTCTAAGTGATGAGAATTCAGAATCCTGAAAGACTGCCCTTACTTCTCCACAACAAATTCAGCATTTAAGCATCCACTGCAAATTTTAAAATATTGCTAATTTCATATTTCTAGCATTTCTAACATTGCGCTAGCTTCTTAGAAGTTGTTTCTTTCATTCTGTAAATATCCTAACTGTAAAAGTGGTTGAGCAGTGGAGCAGACTGCCTCGGGCTGGACGTTTTCAAGCGGAGGCTGGATGACCATCTTTTGGGTATGTCATAGGGCTATCTTTCGGCTGTACTCCTGCAGAGTGCAGGGGGTTGGACTAGATGACCTGCAAGGTCCCTTCCAATTCTAACATTCTATGATTCTATAATGTCACTTTTATGGACTGAGAAAATGACTTGCCAGGTTCCCCTTAACAACTGGACATAAAGGTAAAATGAGCATTTAATTTGCTGCTAGAAGTTGTGTCTTTCCTTTACTTGCCATGCAGAATGATAAACCCTACACTCGCCATCCTTATCAGCATTTTCATTTCTATAGACCTTGGTTGACTTGAGCGTGGTTTAAATGTTATGCCCAATGATGGTTTGTCACTATGAAAATATACTTTGAGAAAGCTTTGAGTTTGCACTGTCATGAACTAATTGGTTTATTTCTGGCTCCATCCAATTATAGTTTGCTACTGTATCCAAATAGGCAAACTATGATTTGCTCTTGCCTTACATATGAGGATTACAAACCAGACACAAACCATAATTTGCCAAATGCAAAACAGTTTGCCAATTAAGCAAGTTATTTTTGGCTAAAATGTCAGGAATTCCTAGCTTAGCTAGATTAGCTCATGCATTTTAAGGGAGAAGGGATTACATAAGCCTGAGGCTCTTCCACGCTCATTCACATGTTGTACCAAATCATTGTTTGGACTATCTCAACCATTCCTGTGTTGAAACAGCTAATTTCTGTCTCTCTTCATCTTCCAGTTTTGGTAGTAAACTGTTCAACTGGACACCAACTACTGTTGGTAAGTGGAAATGCTAGAAGGTGACCTCAAGAAGATTAGTGAGAGCCCATAATGTAATGGTTAGAGGGTGACCAAGGCAATCCAGGTTCAAACCCACACCTTGGGGCAGTCATTCTCAGCCCAACCTACCTTACAGGCTTATTGAGAAGATAAAATGTAAGGTAACCACATATACTATCCTGAGGTTCTTGGAGGAAGGAGGAAAATGTTATGGATAAATCACCATGGAAAAAGCTGTGGTCAGCCATGCTCATATAATGTTTCATTCCTTTTCTAATTTGTTTCAGTTGTTCTAATTTTCTTTTTTAAAAAAACCTCTTAGATTAAACTTCTAAGTCTTGTGTCCACAGGTGTTGATGCTTTCTCTTTCTTTCCTTGCAATCTATTTGTTTTAACTAGTAATCAGGTTTATCTATGAGTCATTTCCAGTGCTGCTGAAGAACTGGAACTGTTTCAAGTGCATCCCACCTATTGCACTGGGTCACCCTGTGCTGCGTCCCCCTGGAGGGCTCTGACTCAGTAGCAGAGCATCTGCTTGGCATGCAGCAGGTCCCTGGCATCTTCAGTGGATAGGAACAAGTAGCAGATGATGTGAAAAAGCTCTACCTGACACCCCAGAGAGCCACTGTGAGTCTGAGTAGACAATGTCGCCCTTGATGGACCAGTGGGTCTGACTCAGTATAAGGCAGCCTACTTGTTTTATGTCATTTGAATATCATACTGTAGTCATGAGGGTTGGTAACTTAGATAAACATATCTATCCAATCCTTCACCGGGGGGGGGGGGGATTTCCAGAATATTTCTTGTTCTGTGACAGTAATGTAGATTACATATTCCATCATCCAAAATGTGTTATATGTAAACAATGCATAAAATAAAGTGGAGTAGATTTTTGATGATGAAAAGCCAAGAAAAATCTTTGGTTATGATGGACAATGCT